TGTGTATGTATTCTCTCTCATTTTGGGATCAATATTATTATGATTTATCAGCAGCGTTCGTCTACTTTGTCTTTGCGAGTGACGACTGATTATCATGACTGGGCACATTGCATGTATGTCATGGTAGTTACATGTAAAGTAGTCTGATTATCCACTAGTGTGTAGGGCTTTGAACTCACTACATGTGTCGATTAGGCTTCATCCTCGTAATGCTGTGGGTCTGGTTATGTATTTCCATGCTACTTTGGAGATGAAGTTCACCCTGGCGGAGCCTGCAGCACCATTGTGTTCTTCTCTTTTCTTTTCTTTTTGTTTTGGAATAAAACGGGTCCTTATGGTCCGGGATGCTTTTCCATTCTGGGGAGCGTCAGTCCGGTTCCTATTCCCCCGGCAAGTCGAATCGAAATACATAGAGTACACGCTCACACTTTCTTCGGTAGGGCCGAAGGATCCTTGACCAGCATTGATTACTCCTGTGGCAGGCCCCGGTTTGGAGCCTGAGAGGGATAAGTGGGTAGCAACATTGTGTTTCTCAAGTTGACAAACAGCACTTTTGTATGGCATACGTCACAAACTGGTCCTCTTGGCATATTTTTGCGGGTTTTGCCCGCACAGATAATGCAAGTTAGAACTGTAGTGTACGCATTCCATGAATGCCCGATTTTGACTATGCTGCCAATGTGAGGCCCCTGTGTTGTGCAGCAGGCAGTGCAGGGCCGATACGCCCTGGATCCTGAGTCCAAGAAGTACAAGCCCGGTAGCCCCAGGAAGGGTTCTGGATCCACAGAGTACAGACTGGGTAGGCCCAGGAAGGGGACCTTATAACTTTGCTTGGGGCCAGTAGGTTTCAGCCAATCCGGAAGTTTTTGGTAGGCAGTACCTACAGGCTGAAGCAGGACCCGGCGGTTGTATATACATTCAGGGCCTGTCATTTGGACGCCGGCGCCGCCAGACTGTTTGGGGTAGACTACGCTGTTAAGATCCTTATGTGCAGGCAGTGGTTAAACCACCAATACTTGGCCCGCTATTCGTTTTTGGTCTGAGGTGTTAACGCGCCGCATCTTTCGGGGTTCGGCCTCCAGAGCAAAATGGCTGGCGGCGCCAGCCAAAAGAGGCCCACGCAGCTTCATTTTTTTTTGTCGCGCAGCGCGTTTCCAGCTCTGGAGAAAAGTGCCTCGGAAGTACTGGCGGTTTTAGCTGGGAAGGCTACATAGGTCATCTCCAGTTGCAGATTGGTGATCTTTGATTGGCGTACCAGGCTAGCATGTCAGCCAAGAGCAGACCGCCAACTGGTCAAACCGACTGATCGACGGTCTTACATTATGCTCAGTTTTTTCTTCTTCTTTTCCAAGTCTCGTTTTTCCTTTCCTTGTGGGCAAGCTGCAATAGATCATCTGGCTAATGTTATGGTGGATCCGGACTCTGGACCGCTGTGACCCAGGATTGCAGGCCATCTAGATTTCAGGATTGGTCTTGATCATGTGGTGAATGGAAAGGATGACAACCACCTGGCCACCCAGATGGGCAGCTGGATGTCTGTATATCCTGTGTCTGGAGATTGGATGTCCAATGTTGAGTGTCGAGATACTGAATGTTTGCAGGCATGATTGTGATAAGTAATCCGTCCTTAATGAGAATTGCTCTTATTCTGCAGGAGCGAGTTTTCTTTCTCTGTAGGGAGAGCTCTTTGAGCCTATTCACTGGTTCATTTTCTGTTTGGTGGGATGGCAAAAAGGGGTGTGGTGGACATTGATCAGAGAGAGTCTTTGTGCAAGGTTTGTAATGATTGGTCCTTTTCCTTAGGTGGGTGAGTTGGGGAGCTTACCTGGGTATTGCATCCGCAGTGTTTATGCAGACTGTGATGAAGGAGGTCAAACGCGTGGATCAAAGTTCTGCAAATGATACTCTAATGTTCTTTAAGGTGGCAGATTTTATGACAGCGTTCTACAAGGAACATCTTCAGAAGCTCAAGGTACTGAATTGCTCTGGCTTTGACACGAGTCTTTTTCTGACATAATTATCACACTATGCACTGGGCATCAGGGTTGCATACCCCGACGGTCGGCGCCCTTGACTGGTTGGCACCTACCGGTCGGGGGTTGTCGGCACCCTGCAATTTTTTTTTTTTTCTTTTTTCTTTTTTTTTTGGGGTCCAGAACCCTCAATAACCCCACCAAC